TACTACTACCTACTACTACCTACTACTACCTACTACTACCTACTACTTCTACTACTACTACTACTACTACTATTACCTACTACTACTACTTTTTCTACTACTACTACTACTAGTACTATTTCTACTACTATTTCTACTACTACCACCACTACTACTAGTACTACTTCTACGACGACGACGACGACTACTACTACTACTTCTACTACTACTACTACTTCTACTACGACTACTACTACTACTACTACTATTCCTGCTCCTGCTTTGGGGGGGGTGGCTTTGCCACAAAACTCTACCCCGCAAAAGGCGAAAGTTTGGCGAAAGTTCAGCTCAAGATTGGCGAAAGTTCACCCTGCCACATCTGACCCCCAGCCCATTATGAGTAAGTTTGAACGACCAGCTACTACAGTGGTTCTTCCATTTTTGTTTCTTGCTGACACCCAGGAGAAACAAAAGAGACGTACAGGGTGTCAACAGTTAAGTAGAAGACACATGCTGACAAACAGTGAAGTTTTTATTTTGTGTTTGCCAGTAAAGAAGAAGCCATTGACGTGAACAAAACACAACAGACATGGCACACATAAATACAACATACTTCGGCGAAAGATAAAACGCAGGAAGGCGAAAGTTTGGCAAAAGTATTTTTTTTGCGAAAATGACGGATCCCGGATAAAGGAATTTAGATCAACTCCCATTTATGTATTTATTTCTGTCCATATCTATCTCATCTAATCTAACCTAACCTAATCTAATCTGTCTATCTATCTATCTTTTAGTCCTGGGTTGACACTAGCTAGCACTCCGGACGGTGGTTTGATGTTAAAGTGCTGGTCAACTGTAGTGTTGGTTTTAATCCTTTTGACTGCGAATTTGGGCAGACTTTTGTTTATTTGACATCATCCTTTTCATCACCGAAAGGATGTTTCTTTCACTACCAGCTTTGGAGAGGCAACGTGTTTTCCGAGACCTGATCGTGTTCAATTTCCGTTCTTTGATGTTGTGGCAAAAATGCATTTCCCTGACTTCGCGTCGATGCTCGTGGATGCTGAGGCCTCTTCAAGAGCAAAGCAATGGGCGCTATTGGGTCTTGGCGAGATCTCTGTTCGGCTTGTAGCATCTCACCGGCTTTGGCCAGATCGTTTTCGACGAAGAAAGACTTCAGGGTGGACCTGAGGACCGACCAAAAACTCGTCAATCACAACTAGTCAATCACATTGGTTGGACGTTATCGCAACATCTCAAACGCGTGATGACAACATCGGACGGACTTTATGGGGACCCGATGACCGGCAACCCGATGACCTCAAACTATTTCAATGACCTGACGATGTCCTTTTACTTGATTAACCCTCCATGATATTCGGACTAGAAAATGGGAGGGGTTGACGTCTATAGAAACGGGCATTCTTTAGTCTCAAGGATGTAAACTCACGGGAAGGGGTCAGGTAATAATGCATTATCTAGTGACCTGTAGGTCACTAGAAAATGAGAAACACAGGTCTCATAGGCATGCTGGCAGGGTCATTTTCTAGACATCACCTTGTTTTCTTGATCCCACCTGCATCCTCATTTTCTAGTGAGGTTCCTCTTTTCTGGCAAACATGATGAACCGTGATGAGTCAAGACGAGTTTAAGTAAAACATAACAAACAAGAACCATATTTGGAAATACTCAAGATCTAGAAACATAAAGTTCAATATAAAGATATAGAGACATAAATTCAAGATCTAGAAACAAAAACATGAAACATAAAATGAGGAGGTGCCACCTAAAGCCCTAGAACCTTCATGTTCTAGTGACTTTGCTCTGGCTGTCCCTTGGGTACCCTATTTTTCATTATCTTTCCATTTCTGGCACTCCTGGTCGAGACACCGAAGCCACTAGAAAATGAGGAGATGCTGATGCCGCCTAAAACCCTAGAACCTTCATTTTCTAGTGAATGTTGTCCTTGGGTATCCTATCTGTCCATTTCTGGCACTCTTGGTGGCGACACCAAAGCCACTTGAAAATGAAGGCGCCACCTAAAACCCTAGAACCTTCATTTTCTAGTGACTTTGGTCTGGCTGTCCCTAGGGCACCCTATGTTTCCATTTCTGGCACTTTTGGTCGAGACACCAAAGCCACTTGATTCGCCGGATCGTGGCGGTGTTTCCGGGGTGTTGTAGTTGTTCAATACACTTAGCTTTTGTATGCTTTTGTTTGCTGTTGGGACTCCTCACAGCACGTAGAAGCAGGATCCGCTAGAAAATGGCAAACGTCTGACCAAACCGAAGATGCGCCAAACATGGGCGAAATGGCTGCGCTTGCAAATTCTTGCAATTTTCTAATGATTTCTAGAGAATGCCAAACACTGCCTCATGAGGCTGCGTTCCTCATTTCCTAGGGAGCTGACATTCATCATTTTGCAGGAAATCACTAAAGAATGAGCAGGACTGACCCCTCCATGTGATTTTCATGGGGAACTTGAGGTCTATATAGACGGGACAACCCCAAGTGAACCAGCAATAGGCTACGCCGGCTACGCGGCTACTAAATCGACCCCTCTATTCCCAAAAGGACATCTGTCCCCAAAGAAAGCTGCGGCGACGCAGTGATCGATACAGCACACAGCACGAATCGAAGCGAACTTCGAACAATTTTTTTCGTCTCGACTCACAAAGTCTGAGTTTTCTCACAAAGTGCAGCGATGTTTTTGGACAAAAGTTACTCTTTCGCTGCGCCGCTTGACCTTCCTAGCTTAAATTCATGACTGACACCACTCATGACCCACATTCTTGGCTAACAAGTTGGTACTCGTACAACCCTGACGTTTTGCACATGTCGGTGTTGAGGGCACCTGCAAGATGCTGGGCCTGGTAAACCAGGCGCTGTGCATACATGGAAAAATATGGGGGGCACTGAATGATGCCATTCTATGCCATCCACGAGTTTTTTGATAAACAATGTGTGACTTGTCGAAACCAACTCCCAAACAAGATCAGGCAGTATCACCTTGTTATCACCTTGTTATCCAGTGTCATCTCTTTATCCCGATGATGCCCCATGGCTTAATTGCATACAGCTCCACGAGGCTCCACGCGTTCCCTGACGCCAGGAATCCCGAAAGCTGCGGACGGCGCTCTGGCGTCATTTGGATCCCGACGGGGTGCGAGCGCCCGCGGTGCGGCGAGCGCCCGGTGCAGGTCGGTGGGTTCTTTGGAATGCCAGCTATAGTTGAGGGTGTGATTGAAGGGTGTTAGGGATCTACCACCTAAGACCTACAGATTTGTTTTTGGATACGTTGTTTGTTTTTGTTGATGCGGGTAGTGGTCTCGCAAGCATTGTTTATTGAATAGTTGCGCCAGCAAGATTGGAGGGACAAATTACTGTCATGGTTGCAGCAACTGCACTTCCCCTGCTTCAGGATTTTCCTGCATTGAATAAATTTCGCTCACTTGTTTCTGTACAGCTCAGTATTTGCGTTCTTTGTGCCAACTTCGGTTCACCTGTTTCAGCTCGAGCTAGGACTAGGATACAGCTTTTGTATGCCAAGGTGTTTTCAGGGTCGGTTTCTTCGAAATGATTTGTTGTTGTTTTTTAGCTTGCAAGGCTTGGATGAATTGGCGCATTATCATAATTTATGTTTTCTTCCAAACCATACCACTTCCTTGAATTGCCCTGTCTTGATTGGTCGTTGCACTGGTTTTCCGCTGCTGTATGGACTGTAGCGCATCCTCCGCACTCTCGGCCGCAAGCGGGCTCGAGTGTGGTAAAAAGCTGCACGAGACTCCAGCACGTTCTTCAGTTCTTTCAAGAACGTCCACATACTTCTTCAGAAACTCCTTGTGTATTCCACTGCCGAATCCTGAAGATCCTTAGGCGAAATGATCGATCCATTCATTTTGCCTACAAGGCTTCCAGCATCTTCCGGCGATGTCTTGAGAGTCAGGGGTGATTTGTTCGTTTCAGCAATTCTTTGATTATAGCACACACCTTTGGGTCATGGCGCCCATTTTATCCAAGGCAGGGGACGTGTAGCGATGCAGAAAACACACGTGCATGCACCGGATTCTCATTGGATGGGTGGCTGGGCGTAGGAAGCTCGCCAAGTGGAGAGGAACAAACCTGGTTCTTGTTTGGGATGAAAAACTCCACCTGAAGTCCCAAGGACTCCACCTGAAGTCCGCAGGTAGATTGAGATCACCAGAAACTGTTTGTTTTTCACGGTCGGACTTCGGAAGGATGGGAGCAGACTTTCAGGGACACCCTGGGTAGCACTGACCTCGACAGATGGGAGCAGAAGACCCCTGATTGAGACGTGCTAGACTTATTTTACTGCTTGGAACAAATGTGAAAAAGGGGCCAGGAGCGGCTGCCAGATCCTCCCGGGCCAGGAGCGGCTGCCCCCCAAGATGAGACCAGAAGATGCGGCCAAGGTCGTGGCGCAGAAGGTGTGGATGGGTTCTGGGACGGTACAAGAAGCTGGCGTTTTGGATTGAAGCATCCTAGTTGTTGAAAGAAGACATAAGGTGCACCCTTGTAGATGAGCATTGTCGCTTGCTTACAAAGAATTGGTGCAGTTCTGTGCAGAACTCAAGAGTATGTTCTGGGTTGATCAGACTTCCCAAACCAGTACTGTAGCTTCCAGTATTTGCAGCTTTCGACTCCACTGCGTCCGCTCGCGGAGGGAATCCCTCCGCACGCAACCGCCGCACGCAACCGCCACCCATGAGGCTCGGCCCTTCCTGGATAGCTTCTTAAAGCTTGTGGAGGCGAACGTCGAGGGCGAGCGAGTTCCCACATGTGGTGGTTCACAGATGTCTTTTCGATGTTTGACGCACAATCAGAGACCTGGTGAAAGCCCCGAGTTGAAAGATCCACGCTGTCAGACGGACCTACGGAGGCTCGAAAAGAAGTTTTGACATGTTTGTGGAGTCGATGATAGTCGAGGTATGTGTTCATTGTTTTTCCAGTATGTGTCGATTGGACGCGGAAATTTATGTTAATCCCTGCAACTTGAGCGATTTCTCAGAGACTTTGAATTGGAACCCAGACGAAAGTAGAAGTAGAAGAAGTAGAAGATCTGGCCCAAGGAAAAGAGCAAGGACGCTATGCTCGGTGGAGGCCATCGCAAGTAGGTTGGAGGCCATCACTACTAGGAGCAAGAAGCTACTAGCTAGAATCAAAATAGTTGTAGGAGTTTTGCCACGCTAAACAGGCAGTCCTGGTGTTTGCGGTGTTGCCAACCATGTTTTGCAAAACATGTGCGGTGAAAGCACCACACTGTGTTTGGCCAACCTAGAGCCATAGAGCTGCGCGTTGCTGAACCACCATTCTGTAGCAAGAGGAGCTACATGAATGGGCGGGTGCAACAGCAAGAAACACCTCAGAAAATGATCAGGTTGTTCTTCCAAAGATCGTCGTTATCTTTGAAGATGTATTTTAGACCTTTGGCTGTGGGCCATGGTGCGGTCGCGGCTTGAGCACCGGAATGAAAAAGCAGGTTTCACGCAGACTACGAGACATGATCAATCCACAAGGGAACTTTGGGTTCCAGGTTTTGACCCACAAGCCATTTCAGAAACACCGGCTGTGGGCGGAGCAACACGCCAGGTCTCCATCCAGACTGGTGGTGTGGTGAGAAAGCTCAGACTTTGATGATCTCTCCGATTGGCTTTTTACTGCTCACTGGTCGTATGCACACATTAGTCCTTTATAAGCAGATAAAGGACTGAACTGTTTCCGTTCTTGATCCCACGGCGCCATGGGGATGCCCCAATGGCATGGTTTAGTTTCCACTTATTTTCTTTGAATGCAGAGGAAAGATTGTAACAAAGAACATGTGGTGAGACCGAGGCTTTTGAATGATTCACCGGTCGACCTTTCAGAGAGCTGCAGCAGCAAATACTGCCATCATTTCAAGAGCTGCAGCAATCCTGAGCTGAACTGAGGTCCTGTCTCAAGAGCAGGTTCTATATTTGACCGTCGAAAGACCCCCCCCCAAACTGGACAGGGGGAAAAACGTATCCCCATGACCAGTTTGAATAGGTTCTGTTCAGTGCTCTTCCAGATCAGATTCACCATGATTCACTTGCTCGTGAGCAGGATTGAGATCTCAAGGGGATTTTGGTTTCGATGTGTTCCTTTAACAAACGGGTACGGGAAAAGTTGTGGTTCGGATCTCCGCTCGTGACCATCTCCGCTCGATCGATCACTTCTTAAGTTGGATAAGTGGTGCACGGTGGATCAATCAGGTGGTGGATGAAGCGAAACTGATGGCGAGCAACCTCGGCAGCCTCGCTTGGGCCCGAAGAGCAGAGTGACTTCTGAAGAATCAATGAAGTTTGTCAAGCCAAAAGAACGAAAACATGATTGAACGCATCCTTGCATATCCTTGCATCTGCCTTTTCCACAAGACAAGAAGAAACAAACATGTTTGCTCATGTGATCTTGCGGCATTTGACGACCACCCAAGTGGACCGCACCCCAGGTGGACAAGTGCATGCACGGTAGTGCAAAGCTTCTGCAGGCACTGGTATTCGCATTCTTGGAAGGTGTTGGCGGGATGTATCCACATATATAAATATTATGAAAGCCAGCCAACAGGCTAGGCTGAAGTTGTTCCTGCGAACGAAGTGAGGGTGGGGTTAATGCTCTTTCGCAGGGTCTACTTTGGATAGTTAGCGAAGTTGCTGCTGCATCCTTTGCATCACCAAGTTGTATGGGGCTAATTACTTCCAAGATCAACAAGACCAATATTGAGAAAGGAAGGACTTTCATTATGCTTTCTTTTGCTTTCATTCTGCTTCATGTGTTTTCATGTTGCTTTCATTTGCTTTCATCTGACAGAGACACCGTCGACTGGTTCCACAAGCATGCAAGTGAACCAGTGGTCTTCTTGATGCTTGATTTCTGAATATGCTAACAAAACCCAAGCGCCATGAAGGGGCCACGTCGACTGGTTCAACAAGCGAACAGTTGAACTAGTGGTTTTGTTGCTGCTTGATTTCTGAGTAGGCTAACAAAGTCTGTCCAGACCATATAATCGAAGAACTCCCAGAAAGTGCAGGATTTCTTGGCGGTCGAGAATCCACAGCAAATTCTGTACATGTCATGCTGGTTCTAAAATGTGCTGGCTTTCGTGCAAAACTTGGCAGTTGAAATGCGGTAAGTGCAGATAAGATGATAGCATCTGATGGGGCTCGCTTCCGTGGAGGCAGAGCTGCGAGGTTCCTAGTGTACAGTGACATCTTTTGAAAGTTCGTGTGTTTGATCATGTGACAGGGACGTGGTCCAAATCAGTGCCCAAGTCAAAAGGGTCCCTGGGTTTTTGAGCACTACACTGCCTACTGCCTGGCCTGGTGAAGTGCCATCTCAGAGTCGCAACATTGGCATTTCATTGCATTTTCTATGGGTCAGGATTTGAGGTGCATCGTTGCTTGATTCTCGCGGGTAAACAGATGTCAAACCTAAATCACAAAGCATTTTCAAGTAGTTTACTACACTGTGCATGTTCTGGATGCACTTGAGGGAGTGCTTGGGCTGCATCGGCACCCGTTCTGCTGGATCACCCTGGCAAGGAAGCTCCTTACAAGATCTTACACGTGGTATTTCAAGTGACAGAGGATAAAACTATATAAAACTATTGGACAATTGAAACTAGTATATCAACATCATGGCATACCCATCCATTAACACGGTGCATTGTGGGATACTTCGATGTGGAACGTGTGTGGAATCACGACGGGTCCACTTCCTTTTCGGGCCAGGCCTTGTGTTGTATCGACCTGGAAAAGTTCACAAGAGGTCCAGAGATTCTTGGCCACTGGAAACATGCGTGTTTTGTGTTGTTCTTTGTTTGGTGTTGGTGTGTTTTGCGGGGGCAAGCGGCATATTTGGGCGGAGGCTTTGGCAAGGTAGACCATTGCAGACCCACTTGCTCCTGCTTGAAACAAATTGTACTTGAACCGAACAGATCACCGATTGTGTACATTCTTGGGACTTTGCAAGCCCTTGGATGTGACCTTGGTTTGAGATTGGACATGTGCATGCTCAATTGAATTGTAACCATGAACAGTAAGAATGCATAAAGTAAGAAAAACAGCTCCGAATCTGGTCTTGAAGTGTTAACTCCTTCGCTATTCGCTGCCCAGGAAGCCAGCGCTTCAAAGCCAGCTGCCGGTGATCTTCGTCTTAGGGTTTCTTGTCTCAAATTGGTTGGGTCGGTAAACAAGAATTTGAACAGGCTTTCTGCGGGGAGGTTGGATGAATGTGTGAGTCTTAAGGTAGGGAAGCACACTCAGTTCGTCACCCAGCAAAAAAGTCCCCAGAACTTCCAATGACTTCATTTTACCCCACCTGGAAGTCAACATCCACCACTACCACAAGGCAATGACTGGAGTCAGCATCCTGGATTCGGAATCCGCCCAGTGGAGCCCAAGAGCCGTGGAAACAGCGCCGAGGCTGCTGGCCATGCTGTACAGCGCCTTCGTGTTCGCTTACATGCCTGCAGCCGGCCTCTCGCTGAACAGCAGGGATGCCAAGACGACAAAGGCCCCCCAAAACGGCGGACGGTGCAACTGTGTGGAGGTGTGCTGACAACTCTTGGACTCTGCGGGCATCCAATTCGTCGTAGCACGTTGAGTGACTTTATTCGTGCCATCGTTTCAACGTTTTTGTGATGACTTTTGTAAATTGGTTTCCTATTTATATATATATACTAACTGCACAACTGGCAAGTCTTCATACGCAAAATTCACACTTTTCACAATTCCATACAAAGCCATGTCGCGCCTAGCACGTAGTGTGTGTAGAGATCTCTCTACGATAATAGATTCAATAGATATTCCTGTTGTTTGGTTTGCGACGTTCAAATCTCAAAAAGGTCGTCGGTCGTTCTTCTCGTGGATCGACTGTCGTCGTTTCCGACAATGTGTCGCCCCGGACAATTCCTGCACACTTGGCTGGAATGCGGACCATGTTTTGATCGAGAGCCTGATCAAATCGACTCGAAAGGAATTGAAAGGACTGCATTCCCGGTGTTCGAGTTGTCAGATTCAGGGCTCAGACATGGCTAAAACATGCTAAAACTTAGTTTATTCCGATCACCTTACTGCAATTACTAAAGGATCCCAAAAGCAAACCATTGTGACCAACCCCCATTGAACAGGCCATCCCATTCAAAGAACCAAGCAACTCAGTATAACCCAGTGCATCCCATGCAACACCGAGTCATGAGCACACCGTCCAGGTACAGAGAGCTTGCTTTTCCACGCCTTCGTCTTCTTGACGCTGGCCAGCTTTGCACAGGCCCGACACCCGAGTGGAACCTGGCCCCCCCCGCTGACCGACGCTAGAACAGCGGCCACAACGGGGCCAGCGATCCAACACGGGCACCGGCGGCCGATGCGAGAAGCCATCAAAGGCTATCCGTGTGTATTGAGAGTAGTGAAGATTCGTTATTTGTTGTTAGATATATACAAATGACTTATATAACAGTACAACTAATATTAGTTATGTTATTTTATATTATGTTTTATATGTATATATATTGTTTATGATATGTTATTTTCTAGAATATGTTCTTGAGTCGCCCAGCCCGGAGCTGCAATAGCCATTCTGCAACATGTAAGAGGCTTTTCAGATCTTTGCCAAGCCCAAGCCCCGTAAAACCTGGAAGACAAACACTTTACTGTTTCGATTGTGCACTTCAAGAAAGCTCGGTGAAAAGAGGCTGCAAGGCTTGAGGGCCCGATGGCCTCCACCCTAAGAAGAGCGATGGCCTCCAACCTAAGAGCGATGGTCTCTTGTTGCTTATCCCAAAACTTAGATCGGGGATTTGTTGTATCGTAAGTAGATCAAGTTGACTATTTCCAGACGCAGCGTGACCCGGATCTACTTAACGAGCTTAACGGCCCCTTAAGTGTCTTTGTGCAGTTCACAGCAATAACTTTGACTTCAGAAGGGTCATTGGGATTTGAATTCAATGACAAGACCATCAAAATCCCCGCTAGTGTGTGCTCCATGACCTATCTAAAGCGTACTCAGTCGATCAAACCATTCTCACACATTCTCACCAAGTCTCGACTTGCTACTAGGGGCTCCTGGCCTTACTACTAGGAGCAAGGACGCTACTAGTAGCTCGTGGCCATACTACTAGGAACAAGAAGCTACTAGGGGCTCCTGGCCTTACTACTGTCCATGCACAAACCACCCGACTTCGCTACCGCCGAGGCCGCGCGCACCGACCCGGGCGACGTGCCAGCGGGTCCCGAGTGGCGTGACCGCGATCAGCCACCCAGGTGGCCCTGACACCCCGGAGGAATGGGAGGAGATGAAACGGTGGGTTTCTGGGTGGGATCGAACGGAAAGACTCGGAGGTTTGCGGGGGGGAAATGGAAGAGCATTTTGTGGTTTGAGTGAAGATGAGGATCGTGTGTGGAACAGAGCTGCAGCACGTTCCTTTTAAGGGCAGGAAGGGCTGTAGACTTGTGTTGGTTCAAAGACAATCCACCCACTACAGTATTTCAAGGTCCAACATTATGTCACCGTGTAGTAAAAAAAGAAAACACACTTTGCGTCAAGGTCTCCGTGTGTTCAAGCCATTTGTCCGTGCCACATGCAGTGCATGTGCAGCATTCGCTCATTGAGGGCGGCGATGTTCAATCAATGTGGACGAATGTAAGCAAAGTTTAATCAGTTTAATCAAAGTAACATCAACACACGTAGTTCTGCCAATGATTTGCCGATCAGATTGGAAGCAAAGTCTTGATTCTCAGCATTGTGCACCACTTTGTTGGTGTATAACTCTATAGACCAAGATCCCCCACCGGGAGGAATCACATGGAATCACTTATTCTCTTCAGGTTGCATGTTTGGGTTGTGCAAGGCACGTTTCTCCTTGTGCCCCAGCGTCTCCAAGTGTCTCCTTGTCAGGCAGAAATTCAGGGACGTGCATCAATTCTTGGAGGGAACTCGTGCATGTCACCAGTGCTTGGGACTCACCAGTGCTTGGGACGTGTTGACAGGTGTATGCACGAGCAGAAGAGATTTAGCCAGCCACCGAGTGGTCGTGGTCGTGGAGGGAACGGTCGGCGGAAGCTTCCGCCACACCATCCCGGGATGTCGTGGTAAAGAGACAATTTGGAATTGTCCTTGTTCCTTTTCACATTGAGTGGATGCAAAGTACTTCCTTGTTCAGTTGCCATGAAAACATATGTAAACTCCTTATCTACTCAATTCTCCCGACATTAGACCTGTGGATACCATCGAACCAATAGGACTACGACTACGAGATAGGGGATCGTCTTTTGTTTTTTCTTAAAGAACATTGGTAATCCAACTTGCTGAAGTTGTTGATATTTGACATTGGTGCTGAAGATGGTGAACTTGACAAGAACCAGCAATGTTGATTATCCACGGGAATATGAGAAGAGTTTCACACTTTAGAGCGCTTGCTCTTCTGCGAACAGATGCAAACAAATGTTGTTGAAGTCTGCTTAGAGATTGACACCTTGTGCCAACAAGGTAGCTCTAGTGACAGAAGGGATGGAATCCGTGTGACCTTTGCAGTACTATGGATTCCGGATTGACGCCATCCTCATTTCTTCAGGGGCAGGGCTTTCCGAATTTTCCCAAGTGGTCACGGGTAGCTGATGATCCAAAAGATCTCACAATAATTAACACTACCATGAAATCACGGTTTATGTTCCTTACTCGATGGCATTGTGAACTGTGAGATGTGTGGGTGTGTGTATTTGTAACCCTTGGACTCAGAGGGAGCCTGGTGGCCTTTGATTCATTTGCTGTTACTTTGTTTTGCCTTTACAAGCAGGGGGCAGAAGCACCATTGCAAGACTCCTGCCAAGAAAGACGCTTGCAATTGGTGGTGAAAGCAGACCTGATCAACCTGCTGCGTTTGCCACTTAATTCTCCCGTTGGTAACTAGATCAAATTGCATCAAATTGCAAGCCGTTGCGCCGGTTCCATCATTTTCGCAGATGCGCATTTGACTCTTTGGAGCTTTGACACTTGAACTTTGTTGGTTTGGAACTACTTTGAATGGTTGGACACTCGTTTACCCAAGAACCTTGTGTACCTAGGCGCTTGGGCATCTTGTGTGCGTCATATCCTGTTCCTAAGGGTCACGTACAGAACTTTAGTTCATTTGCACAAACCAGCAGCAGGGGGACTGGCGCTCTAGTTCGGTAATGTAGTCACTAGATCGTACAGGGCTAGTGCATCGGTGAGTCAGTGTTTGACCGAATGCTCATTCAGTTGACAGTGCATCTAAGTGTGTCTTCGTGGCATCGTCCCACTGTGGTGTGCCGTGTGATCCCTCCGGGCCGCGTACTTCAATCCTTCAATTGAAGGCTAAGATTTCTGATTGAATCGTTTTGTACTAGGGACCGGTTTCTGATCGAAGTGTCTTGCATGAAAGAGCTGAGCGAATACCGCAGGGTCCACGGTTTAATTTCACTCGCTTCTTAACCAAGTGTGTGCAGTTCATTAGCTGACTGAACTCATTGGAGCTGCTTTCCTTCCTTCTTTTGCGTTCTCTTTCTTAGGTCTTTTGTTCGTTGCTAAAGGCTTGTTAGGTTGTAATCCATGCCTTTTCAGTCAAGATTGCGCCGGATATATTCGGCTTTCTGGCCAAGTGCCTTACCCGTCAGGGCTTCCACACAACCCCACACGCACCTTTTTTCTCCTGCGTTTTCGTTTGTGAGGGCTTCCTCTCGAAGTTTGCTAGGTTGCTTTTTAGGCTCGTTTAGTCGATCCACCACAACCCCCCCGTCCCCAAGGGTCACCTACAGGATCATTTGCACAAACCAGCAGCAGGGGGACTGGAGTCAATTTGCCTATCCAGTCCAATGAAGCTATTGCATTTCTGTGGATGAGTGGTCTGATCAACCACTTGTACCTGTTTGTAAATTGCTGCACTTGCATGATATACATAGACAATACTGTTCAACGGACTTTTTCACCTTTCCGTTCCTCACAGGGCCATTTCGAAGGTCGAGGTATTAAGCTCTCTAGTTCGGTAATGCAGTCACTAGATCGTAGAGGGCTAGTGCATCGGTGATTCAGTGCTTGAACGAATGTTCATTCAGTTGAGCAGTGCGTCTAGGTGTGCGCGTGCGTGTGTTAAAATTACATGTTACATGCGGGAAGTTAACATGGAACCTGAAAATGAACCTTTGGAGGACCAGCTTCCTCCACAAACCAGTGGTTTTAAAGGTTTATGTTACAGAATCTTCCGAGGCGTACTTGTTTTTCCTTGGAGCATGGTTCCCTTTAGAGCCGAGGTGGAGAGGCACGCTGGTGCCGGAAGTCGCAGGTGGGGCTTTGGCGCGCAGAGCTGTGCCACAAGAGAAGCGCTGGAAGAAAGCCGAGCAAATGGTCACAAAGGAGTTCATTGTACACTTACACAGTCATTTGTTGCGGGGGTTTCAATGTTTATTTTTGCGTTCGATGTAGATCAAACTTTGTCAAACATTATGTCCTGCTCCAAGCCAAGTTAGGTTTCATTGCCACATCTCTTCAATTTACCTTGGAATTGTTGGTTAGCTGAGTTCAGAGCTTCAATCAAATTTAGTTTCTTGTGACTGAGCTACGTGCAGTTTGCGACCAGAGAGCGCGAGAGTAACATGAGAATGCTATGATAATGTTATGCAATGTTTTTCGTATACTGTAATTACTGTAGAGTACTGACACAAAGCGACACACAATACATCCACTCTTTGCCAAGATGGTTATCCTTGGAACCCTGTGCACTCTTTGCACCCCAGCTGTTCTGTGTACTGCAGTGTTTTAAAGTTTTATGGGCATCACTGCCATGCACAATGCGCAAATCTATCCTCCAACTGACTCTGGGAGATCCTCCATGTGACTCCCTCCCTCCTTCAGGCCTTCAAACCCGATCGTGCTCACTTCTGCCGAGCTATGGGTCGCGTGGTCGCGCGCCTCAGTGACGGACGTGACTCCAAGGGTAAGGGTGACTCCGAGGAGCTACCCAGGAAAAGTGGACAACCTGCAAAACATTGCAACACCTTGTTGTTCGATGTTTTTGTTGAGGGATTCCTTTCCTAACTCACTATGAACAAATTGAAAAAGGGCGAACAGTGGTTAACCATGATTTACATTGATTTACCATGATTAACCTCCACTTTCCAGGGACACTGAGGGCTGTCAAAGGGACCGGGACACGTGTAGACCAGGCCGTGCGCTTCGCACCATGGCCGATGGGTCGCCTGATGGGTCGCTTTTTGGACTCGCGTGTTACACGAGGTGCTTCGCATGGACCACCATTGCCCATGGCTTGGCAATACCGTGGGCTGGGCCAACCACAAATACTTCTACTTGTTCCTGGCCCGGAGGCCCTGTTCAGCTTGCGGTGCTTGGCATTTGATGTCACCTGAGAGTCTTTGGCATCCGGTGTCACCAGAGACCGTCTCGGGTGCCAAAAGTTTCAAAGCTTCAAACAGCCGGTTGGTGTAGTCATGTAATAGTCTAGTCGAGCTGAGTGCTGCACATCCATGAGAGAGTTGCTCCAAGCCCAAGATGCGCATCATCCAGTTTCACCCGAGATGCCAAGCTTCTTCAGCTCGCCAAAGCCGTAGTTCATGGATGTTCATGGTGCACTGAACAAAAACTGATTGTATCAAAGCACCAATCAGGAATCATCGTCTATGCCGTGTATTCCGGTGTTTGTGGTGATGGACATATAATATATATAATATATGCCGTTAGTTAGCTCGAAAAGAATACCGCGATCGAAAGCTGCAATCCCTGGCTGCAGCGGAGCAAAGCTCCTCTCAACCCTCGAACTCCAGTGACAGTGATAACTCCAGCTGAAAATTGTGTGTGTGTGTGTCTGTGTGTGTGCGCTCAACTGACTTCACAGCACGAGTTGTAAACATGATGACATGTGTCCTGCTACTAAAAAAGTCTGAACGAGATACTGTGACATGACCTCCTACTTAAGTAGTCTAAGCGAGATAGGGCCCCCACATAATAGATAGTGTTGGAGCTAGATACCAAATAAATTCCGCCGCACATATGGAAAGGGACCTGTGTAAGTGTATTCAGCAGGGCATGGCTGCTTCTCTTTCAGCGCCATGGCAGAGGTGATTTGTTGATCTGCTGATGATCCATTTCATTTGAGGTCACTTCCACTTGTGAACTCTTGTTCATGGATAACTCCTTCTTCATCTTGTTCATTGTTCCAATTGAAGGTGTTGCAGCCGTCATCAGGCCTGGTGGTTCCAGATGACTTTGGCGCTTACGTGAAGCTTAGTAAACCAGGGAGACACTGCAACGTTTGATGAAGCCCTGCAACTTCTTCTCTCTTGACCGGGATACGTGATCCAACAGATGGGAGCATGGTCCCAGCTGACACGTTTTCTTCCAATTCAAATTGGTCCCGGATCTCTTCCAACCGTCCATCACACCACCGTCACCGCCTCCGTCGATCCTTCGATCCTTCGATCCGAGGCCTACACGAACATGGCGTGCGGGATGCTTGGGCTGAACGTGCTGGACCTCTTGGTGCACGCAACCTTGCCGGTTTGAAGCCCCAGAGCAAGCATGTATAGCCATTATGTAGCTCATGGAAGTGCAATTGCTTTGAATAAAGCAACCAAGCAACCAAGAACTGAAGTGCCCTCTTTGCGTCGAATCATGGAAGGATCTGGAGGAGATGGAGCGGAACATAGCCCTTTCCGTTTTGCAAACAGTTGCTCTTCCATGCGTTTCCTCTTTCACGTTTGCTGGAGGGAGGCCTCAGTCCTTTCATGTGTTTGTATTTTCCATGACCTTTGAAGTGGTTGGCAGATCTTAGCAGATGTTGAGCTGCAGCTCTGCGGTGAATTTGTCGTGTTTTTTGGTTTGGGTGTTAACAGATTGACCTCCAAGCCTGAAGCAGCTTTGTAGGTCAAATTGGGATTCCCAGCCCAAACCAAAACAATGCAGGTGACGTTGGAGGAATTTTGGCAACCCTCATGATGATGATGATGATGATGTGATACGAAAGCTCATGATGATGTGAGTCGTTTGGTATTACAATAATCATATATATATATGTATATTAAAAGGTCATATGCCGACATCGTGACTGATTGATACAAAGTGCCATTTTGTCTTCAGGAGAATGGATATACCAAGGCTATACCCAAAGGCCCTCCTCCTCCGCCGCCTTGTGAAACCCCAGGCCCTGACCACCTTCCTGCTCATTGGCACTGAAGCATTGACGTTCCTCCTCTCCAGCATTCTGGTGCGTCTTCGGATGGAACGAGCGGTGGAACGATCGGTGGAACGACAGAGCAGAATGGTGGTCCAGCCCTGTGGTGTGCCAGACTTGTTCAGACCCTCAATCAGTCAGTGTTTGAGTCGAGCAGTTTCTGAAAGTTGCCGATTGGTCATGGTTCCAGTTTAGCTTAGAATTCCGTAGATGATAGGCAGATATACAGTAATCAACGCATATTATTTGTTCTTAGCACACCAGGGTTGCGAAATACGAAGTGACGTGGCCAAGTGACGTGTTATATTCTAGATCTTTGTAGATCATGAATCGGTATGTGATGTATTCAGCAAAACACTCTACCCATTGACCTTACCTCACAATAAGATATCGCTCTCTTTGTTTGTGAGGACGACGTTGACAGGCTGGCTGTGGCTGAGTTGCATCGGCAGGTTCCCTTTTTCCTCTTCCACACCTGGCTCATCATCCGCAACATGTCGTGGCCTCAAGGGTAGACTGCGGTCTGCTGAGACAGGAGGCGTGGTCCAAAACGACTGCGGTCCAAGGTTGGTGACTAGACTTGACTTGGTGAAACGAACCCCAAGCTTGGCGACGACTCGACCTGACAACAGTACTGCATGGTGAGCGAACCCGACAGAGTCGTGGGTACGTGTCGGTGCGGACAGGCTGTTGATTAGAGCTCCAAGCAGCGAACCTTCTCACTGGTTTTGACCAACACTATTGCTCAATTCCAGAGATGGAAACTGCCAATCCATTCAGAGAGCGAGCCTTGTTCAGACCCGATTGGCACAATCAATTTGTTGATGTCATTTGTTGTATTTGTCGCGTTGCTCAACACCTGGAAAATGAGCTGGGCAGGACATACACTGGTGGTGCAGAATGTTGTCCATCAGCAGTGTTATAAGGCAAAGCACACCTTTCTGAACAAAACACATATTACAGACTTGCGGACAGGAAAAAAAAGCAACTCTTATTTCAGCAAAAAGACACTGGTTGTGGTGTTTACACGTGGCATGCGTGTTTTGTTTCTTCTCAGCCAACTCTTGGTCAACTCTGGTCGAAGACCAAGTACCTTCACCAACTCATTGGGTAACCCGCAGGTCGCCCAGAATGGCATCTATTTGGTAAGCAAACGCTAAGCGAACAAAAACCCATGAATAAGATACTGAGGCAATCGATGTTAAGTCGGATGAAGAACTTCCTTTGACCTTAGTGACACAACAGATGATTTTTTGTTTGGAGCATGTTCCGCCCATGGTGTGTTTTAAGTTCTTTGGAAGTAGCTGGTTTGGGTCAATGCCTCCAAACAGCGTACATACCGTAACCGTTTGCAGGGAATCAACAGACACTTTCTTGACAGCATGAATGGTGCGGTCATGCCGCAACGGCCAACCTCCTTTTCGAACCCCCAACGGGAACTTCCAGCAAGATGACATGTTACAATTAGCAAGATGGCTTCCAAGCTTGCCAAAGGAATCAAGGTAAGTTCTTCTTTGGGGAAGGTTTGAGGGGAAGATTGCCATTTTGATTGAATCTTGTTGCATGTCCTGCGCGTCGGTCATGAATCTTCCATATGCCCCTGGCGGACTCGTCAGGACCACCATCGAGTTCTGCGCCTCCTTTGCGCGTGGCCCCGATGAGAAGCCTCTCGGCGTGACAGCGTGACAGCCACCCGTCTCCGAAATGGGTTCAGCTTGGTGAACTTTCGAGAAGAAGCTGAAGCTAGGAAATGGAAAGAGAAAGATGAGTTCAACTCTTGGCATGGGCCTTTGAAGCTGAGTTCTCCAAGCTTTGGTTTGGCGAACTTTTGTGGTTTGTTTGATGATCATCATACTATAAGTGAAAAATGACTGCTACAATGCTCGCTCATGGCAATGGAGGCGGACGGGCCTCAATTGGAGTGATTACTTGGCAAAGGAGGTTGCCGCCGTTCGGCTCTGACCTGTGAGACCTCAGACGTCAAGTCACGTCCAACGGGATGTGCCCGCGGATTGGATGGTCGATGTTTGATGTCCACTTGCCGTTCGGGTGATGTTGGAGCCATCGAAAACCCACGCAACCATGGACCCCGGAAACATCTCGAAACACATCATCATCATCATCATCATCATCATCATCATCATCATCATCATCATCATCATCATC